GCATTGGTTAACGCAAATTTGCCCGGATTTAGCTCGCAACACGGGGGGAGGGAGGCAATGTCCCTCTTATATTCTCCCTAGCACATATAAATGCTATATATGTTCATCCTAATGTACCCCTAGCTTCTTAACAAAGAACACACCATTCATGTGATCTTTTGGTAACAACACCATGAAATATTTAACGAATCATAAACCCTAAACTCTATTTTTATGCAGGTATGACCGATAATCATACCACTACCATAGTCATGGCAAAAGGCTTAGGTCCTCGTGGAGCAACAATGAACCAACAAAGTGAGAGACTTCATTTTGTTTTGAAGACAACTATGACAAATGGATAATCATCAAGGAAATCTCTATCGTTCACTTATCATCGTCCACTTATTCACGTTAAATTAGTATGTTATCAAATCCGGTGCATAGTTTTCCTACATCTTCTTTTAGTAATGTCAATGAAAGAGGTGTCGTCTTTGTTCTGGTGGAAGTAATATATTTTTTGAACTAGCAATGTTTATTCTAATTACAATGAGTAAAATAAGATAATGAATGGGTAGCCTATGCATCAGGTTGAAATCATGGGTTTCTTCTACTACATCGTCCCCACATAGCACCCTTTGACCTTTCTAATACTCGCTCTGTTCCATAATAACTGTAGTGGTTTACAACGTTATTTATTACGAACCGGAGGAAGTACCACACATGCTACATGCACACAACTTGCATTTTCAGTGACCTGCCTTTCGTTTGTGTGTGTGCACGGGTCAACCTTGTACGCGGTGTTATAAAAGGAAAAATCTCTTGGTGCTCCTATGATGGAGGTAATGATCATTCCTTTAGTTTTAAATCTTCTTGAAGGGGTCGTTCTTTTCTTTTTGTGAACATGATCAAATCTATTATGAAGATTCATCGAAGTACAAAGCGCCTCAAACATAACAAAAATCAGATCGAGGTCCATGGATCACCGAACGATCATTGCCGCCGTCAGAACGAGCCACCGATGCGCCGCTGTCGCCGCTCCCATACCGGAGCCGTCCCGACCTTGTCGATGGCAGCCGGGAAATCATCGTGCACGTGCCCCTAAGGGCCAGCGCCCAGGAGCCGCAGTCGTCGCCGTTGGATCCTTGAATCGACCTGAAGAACCTGACACCAAATATCACTGTAGTGCACGCACGACGAGAAACTCTAACCTCACCGTCCCAAGGAGCTGGCATGAATCTACGCCGGAACTCCATCTAATCCGTCCCAACGGATAAACTTAAGAGTTATCGGAGACCGAAACACTGACTCGAAAAAGGTGCGCCGCCATCCGTACAAACGCCGCCCCTACGAGGACGAAAACCCTACCTATCTATTAGCATGAGTCAAGACACCAGGATTCTCCCCGCCACCGGCCATGGGAGCAGCAGCCAGACGGGAGGCGAATCCACAGGCTCGCCGGTGAAGATCGAAGGGAGAAAGGCTTTCCTAAGTTGTCCTGGGAGAGAGAAAAGAAAAAGTGTACATGGAGTAAAAAAAAGGGTTCCGTTTGACGGAATAAAATTCTTGAGAGCAAAACCCTGCTCCCCCTATAACAGGGGCAATGATCATCCGCAAATAATATACTTAATGTATATTCAAGTGAATGTTGATTACGGAAGAATTTGTATTTCTGTTATTGAAAGTAATGGAAAGGCGTGCCGTCCGGTTGAAAAGAAAATGTTCAACCGAATGGAATTCACGAAAGCATGGAAAAGTCTTTTGTTTCCGTTGGACCGAAAATTCGGCGCCGATGCATCGCAGACGCGCTTGAACCGCACGGTTCCAACCGCCTGGTCGATGGCCACGGTGGCACTTCCCTGTTGGGTTCCACACATAGTGCATGCATCCACGTAGCTTGATCTGACATTCTTGCCACGTCACTTCACTCGCTAAACCAAACCAACCTGGTTGGTTAGCCCTAGTTAGTTAGTTATTACTGTAGCTGATAATTAATGCTCCTGTCGCCTATACATACGAGGCCGTCACCCCATCAGATGACCACAAGTGCAAACGCTCGCAGCCTCCTCTGTTCGGTTCTGCTCTGCTTCACCTTCACTAGATAGAAACCAGGTGCGTCCTTTAGCTAGCACATACCGAGAACTGCTCTGTTAGATCGGCAGTCGGCCATGGTGGGGATCACGGTGCCCATCTTCATGGACAACATCCCACTGGTGAAATGCGCTAATGCGGCGGCGGGGGCGGTGCCGACTGTCGACCTGTCGGCGCCGGGCGCGGCGGCGGCCGTGGAGCAGGCATGCCGCAGCGTGGGCTTCTTCAGGGCGATCAATCACGACGTGCCGATCGCGCTCACAGACGCGCTGGAGGCCGGCGCCGCGGCCTTCTTCGCGCTGCCCCACAAGAGCAAGCTGGAGGCGTCGGCGAGCCCCTTGGGCTACGGCAGCAAGAGCATCGGCCGCAACGGCGACGTGGGCTGGCTCGAGTACATCCTTCTCTCCGTCGGGTCCGGCTCCGTCGCCGCCGCCTCCCTGCCGCCGTCGCTCCGGGCGGCGCTGGAGGAGTACACGGACGCGGTGCGCGAGGTGGGAGCGCGTGTGCTGGAGCTCATGGCGGAGGGGCTGGGGCTCGCGGAGGAGAACCGCGACGTGCTGCGGCGGGTGGTGGCGTCGGACGAGGCTGACAAGATGGTGCGCGTGAACCACTACCCGCCGTGCCCGTGCCCCCTGGCGGCAGGGCAGCGCGGCGTGACGGGGTTCGGGGAGCACACGGACCCGCAGGTCATCTCCCTTCTCCGGTCCAACCGCACCGGGGGCCTCCAGATCATGCTCCCGGACGGCCGCTGGGTCTCCGTGGCCCCCGACCCGGATTCCCTATTCGTCAACGTTGGCGACTCCCTGCAGGTAGCAGCCATAGCATTACCATCACCACTCGCTCACCAGTCACTTTGTTACCCTCATCGCTTACTACTGCATCTGGGATCCATCCATGCAGCCATTTGAACCAAGCGTAGTGTTGTGCATGCATGGTCTGGTCTGGCGCATTATTTAATTTAGCCGCTGGTGCCAGTTCAGTTCTTGTCAAGGACGTACGGGGCAAAGCGTGCAACTTGCGCCTTATATAATTATAAACTCATTGCCGTGCGACCCTTGTGGCTAGCGCCTGTGCCCTACCACCTGTAGCTACTGACTGATGTGTCTCGTTTGTTTTGGTGCATTCAGGTGCTGACCAACGGGCGGTTCCAGAGCGTCAAGCACCGGGTGGTGGCGCCGGCGGAGGGGGAGCAGTCGCGGCTGTCGGTGATCTACTTCGGTGGGCCGGCACCGACGCAGCGGATCGCGCCGCTGCCGGAGCTGATGCGGGAAGGGGAGCTGAGCCTCTACAGGGACTTCACCTGGGCCGAGTACAAGAAGGCCGCCTACAAGTCCCGCCTCAGCGACCACCGCCTCGGCCCCTTCGAGCTCTTCCCCGCCGCCGCCCAAGACTGCTGCAGCAACGCCGTCCAGCCGCCGGTGCCGGCGCCGGCGCCACCTCACGTGGCACGAGTGCACTAGCGCGCTCAGCAGGAGCTGTTTACTGTACCTGTTTATTTAATCCATGGATCCAGACATATGTGGTAACTAAAAGTAGTAGTAGGACTAGTTGTTGCTACATGGCTGAGTAGCCCAAAACTGGCATCGCACCGGCGGCACCTGCCTGCCCAATGTGTCATGCTGGAAAAGAAAGCCGGCCTTGTAATTTCCACTAGTAGCAGCAGCACTTCCACGTACATATGCAAGCACGCATGCTCTCTTGTCCCCTTTTGTTTGTTTGCTCACTTTACACCGGCAGGCAACGGCTTCTGCTCGCCACTGCCCGGTGTACCTTACATAGGCAGCTTAATTAGTTATTCGAGTCTACAAGCTATAATAAATAAAGTGTTAGAGCAACTCCAACGGGAGACCCATTTCCTACGTGCACGTCTGTTTGGGTCGGCGCGGACAAAAACGCCGGCCCAGCGCGTCGACCAATTCACAAAATCCGTCCGGCTGGCGTCCGCGCGAACCCATTTTAAGCCCAAAATTGCGCCTGAAATGCGTCGGCGCGGACGTGACGCGGACGCGCCGTGCGTCCCCTCAATGTCCGCCACGGGCCCACTTGTCTGCCCCCCAACGACCACCCGCGTCTCACACCTACCTCGGGCCCCCTGGCAGCGTGTAGAAGGTCCGCGAGCCCGTCCTTTTCAATGGAAGCGTGCGGCGGGGCCGGCCTCATCCACTTCCAACTCCCGTCCACATCTGGCCACACGGTGCTCCCTCGTCGGCGACCAAGAACCCTAGCAAGCCCA